TGACACGAGGTACAAGAGCAGCCTTGAACATGGGTAGAGGGGCGCGGAAAAGTGTCACACCACTGGGCCGCTCGCTTCGGAATTACTGTGAAGCACATAAAGGAGCGTAGAGCGTCCGACAGCAAATGATGGATGAAGCGAAGCATGTTGTAACTTCGCAGTTCCAATACCAAAAATGGTAATGTCATCGTTGTCCATCGTCATATCCATTTGCCATAGCTTTAGGGAACAAAGCAAGGGAATGGCATGCGCGACAACCACGGAGTGAGGGGGACGAATTTACGTCCGGTGAAATGTATACCAGCATTCATTTGACAAGGCGCCATGGACACTTTGAGAGTCGGCTGTTGGACGACCCGATGCTGAGCGTCAATGAGAACGCCCTTGGACTGCGCCGTTTGTCTCATCGACCAACATCCGTCTTCCGCAACGAGTCTAATCATGAACCGCTGGCGGCTGGCCACGTGGCGAGCGCATGCAAACACGGCGTGACGAGCTCTCGCGCATCCTGCCTGCGGTGTCAGCAAACGTCCTAGCTACCCACGAGACTCCTCGCAGGTAACGTTGTCACGCACGAGGACCATGAAGATAACGTTGTCACGCACGAACACCATGAAGATGACGTTGTCAGCCGCACTTTCACTTTCACCAAGAACACAAATGCGCAGCTTCGAACTAAGTTGTTGTTAATCGCATTGCTTAGTGCTATGTTTTTCGATAGCACCGAGGCAATGTGAATACCGGCCAATCGATATTGCATTCGTGCTGTTAAGTGCGGTAGCCGCCGTTTGCCTGCGGGAGTACACAGAATCCGACTTTCCTTCTCAGGTTTGCAGTTGTTTTTTTTTGCACCATTTGAGGCGCTATGTTAAGACGGGGCTTTTCCATTCTCACCGCCCTTTTCACAGATACCTTCCATATTTCACGTCATCAGCTGCTCCACCGAAATATTTAAGGTGACGAAAGTTTCAAAAATATTGTGCATTTTTGTGGTAAACATTTGATGTCAGCAGGGTAAGATCCAAGGAGGGACAAAATGAGCAAATTCCCTCCCCGAAAACCCCAAGTCATTTAAATTTCCACTTAGACTTTGTCAAAAACACATTTTTAGTCTTTTTGCCAGCATGTTTTCAAACCAGAAAACCAACTGTATTTTCCTCAGTAATGGTCAGTGGCGTACTTGGTCGATTCATGATACACAATGAAAAATTCGGGCAGCGTACATCTACTGACCGGTTCTGAGGGACGAATTTCCACGCTTATGACTTATTGGTGCTTTCGGCCTTCCTTTTCTGGCTCACTGCATATGGTTGCTTTGAGTCGCTTAGGCATTGATGTTTACCGGGCTGGCTTAAATGCATGGTGAAAAGACAAATACATTCCGATTTTATCTGTCCATAGCAAAACAGAAATGACAAGATGCATAGACAAAGGGTATCTATGTGAAAGATTTGCGCAACCGTTAAGTTTGTCTCATGCATGACAAACATCTTGTCTCCATTTACGTTCTCTTTTTGCACGTGGTCCAAATGGAGGTAAAGGTCAGCGCGCTTTGCACATCATCGACATTCTTGGCGCACGCATCAGGTGTAATTTTGAGCGCTTCCTGGCTGATGGCGTTGTTCAGGTCATCAAGGCTCTGAGGGCTCTCTCTGTAGACATGGAATTTTCGGAATTCCATGCATAAAGATCTAGAGTGGTCCGATCCGGGGAGTGGGCTGACCACGAGTTACCAGTCTCTCGGATGATCATGTGGGCTCCAAAGTGGTTCTCCTGCCTTGCTAGGGCCGTTTTTGATGTGGGGAGCCCCCTAGCTATGCTGGATCCATAAAGTTTCCATTTTTACCCTCGGGGTCTTGCTCCAGTCATGAATAGAAGTGCTCCGGTGTGCTGACGTAACATTTCCTGTTGACCGTGGCCCTGGAGTCACCTTCAAACTGGAGGAAAAAGGGGCCAAGGTGGCAGCTAAAACTTATGGCGCACCCCCCCCCCCCCCTGCCACCTTTGGGCTGTAAGAGGAGGGGGTTCTCAGCATGGCGTGGGGTGGCTCCGAGTCCCAGGTCTGGTAGTTTTGGGTGCTTGCTCCCCCATTCATGTGGAAGTTGCCCTCATCGCTGAGCCCGTCTCGTTTCAGAATCCCGGCATCGGCTTCAGCCTTGGTCTTCAGCCAGGTGACAAACATCATCCGATGTTCTTTGTTAGCCTCAGTCAGCTTTTGGTGGATGGTCCCGTTGTGGAAGATTTTTTTAGTCGTTTTTGGAATGTGCCGCAAAGATGTGTGATTGTGGCATATTTGCGATTTATTTTGGTAGGTCCTTTGTTATGACGGGCTCAACTTTTGCTATGTCATCTTGTGTTATTTTTGGCGGCATCTTTCCAATTTGTCCTGTGTTTTGCCTGAGCACAAACGCATCTCTCAACGTTTCTCGTGTGGCTCAAAATTATTTTTGCTCAAGGGGCATATGGAATTAAGCAGGTGGCGTCGCAGAGGGATGGCGCAGCAGGGAGTCAGAGAGGCAAGAGTATGTTTTTGCCAGCTCAAAATTTTTCGAAGCCCTTCTTCCCAAACCAAAGGCTTGTCGCTTCCCGTTGATTACACCGAAATCCGGATCAAGGAGAACCGCATAACTGAACCGAGGGTAATACTTCGCGCTCAGAAGACCCTTTCATGCATTGAAAGGTCCGCTTTCTGGATTATGAGGCCACCTTTATGGACCAGGTATCCCAGCGGGCGCAAAACGGTCTCGACGCAGACACACCCTTAAACTCCAGACCACCACCACAGAATAAGGAATCCCATGCTCTGGATTACTAGGCCCAATCTTATGTTTGTTATTGCCTTAGGCGACTCCGTTACGAACTAAAAGGTCCCTGTTCAGCGTTGGGAGGCTTAAGAGGTCCCTCTATGTCCAGGGGCCCACTCTGGAATAGGAAATCCCTGTCATCCATCAGATGGCCGCGGTTGCGGATCACGACACTCTCTTTTCGAATAACGAGGCTCTTGGCTAGATTTGGAGGCCCCTTCGCGAATTAAAAGCATCCCATTTTAGATTAATGCCCCCCTTCATGCATTAAGGGCCCTTTTCTGGAACATGACGCCCCGTTTTATGCTAGCGAGATCCTTTGCTGGATATTCAGAAGAAATCCTGGATATTTTCATCGTCGACATTTTTTTCACTGGGATATGATACACGTAGCAATTTGATAAGAAGGAACATGCGCTTGATGCTTCTCCCCTCAAAACAGCACTGTCCAGGAGACCATCCTGTGAGGAGGCCTCAGTTTGTCCAGTAGACCGTCCTGTGAGGAGGCCTCAGTTTGTCCAGGAGTCGTCCTGTGAGGAGGCCTCAGTCTGTCCAGGAGACCATCCTGTGAGGAGGCCTCAGTCCGTCCAGGAGACCGTCCTGTGAGGAGGCCTCAGTTTGTCCAGGAGTCGTCCTGTGAGGAGGCCTCAGTCTGTCCAGGAGACCATCCTGTGAGGAGGCCTCAGTCCGTCCAGGAGACCGTCCTGTGAGGAGGCCTCAGTTTGTCCAGGAGCCGTCCTGTGAGCAGGCCTCCGTTTGTCTGGGAGACCCCTGGAAATTCCTGCTCCTCCGCTCCAGCCCAAAGCCCCTGACGCCGTTCCTGATGTCGCGACGTTGAATATCGTTGATCAACGCAAATCGACAATTTTTGCCGTTAGTTGCGCCGTGTTGAGCAGTGCATGGTATCAAGTGGATCATCCGAGGCACATCGAATAAAATTCCAGGCCACGCGCTATCGAAACAAACAAAAAAAGAATGTGTTTGTGTGGTGTTAGACCACGCCACGTATACAGCCAGACATGTTTTTCTTTTCACCCGGGAGTTGAATTCCTCCCCAGTCGGATACATAAATTAAATGCCTCACCAGCATCATTTCCGCTGGGGGAGGAAAATTCCACAACTGGAGAGGCAGTTTGAGTGAATGATAAGGCGCTTACCCCCCAATTAACACGTGCCACTGACGTGACAAACTCCGGGGTATTAGAACGTCTTACAAAATCATGAATGCAACTTCAGCGCCAATCCTTCCCTTCCTTCAGCTTCAGCGCCTTCCCTCACAGCCTTCCACAATCGGTGGTTCCGGCAGAATGGTCATATCCTCCACACGACCTGTGAGACCCCGCCACGGCTGGTAGTGCGGATTCGCGGAAGTCATCTCCTGTGAGACCGTTCGCAAATGTCCAGCCCGCTCCTCTGGCCTGCGCTCCCCGGCTTCCTCCTAGGCGGACACCTGGAGGGTCTGATGTATCGCCATGATCCCCAGGGCAACCGAAGTGATTCATCACAGGGACAGTGTGGGAAATCAGCACCGAGATGTGCAGAAGAGCTGTTGGTTCATAATAAGGAGGGTAGAGCTGTGCTCCGTCCGGAAAAGGGTTCAAAAGGGTGAGTGCCGCATATGTCAGCGTGCTGGCGGATGGGTTTTACATACGCGATAATAATTTTAGCAACAATGTATTGGATCTGATGTCTTAACAGCATTTTTGCAACAGGTTGTGACAATTTGAATGTGCCAGGTTATTAGAAATATCCTGGTCTTTGGCGGTCATGAGAGCCGCTTATCAGCAATATTTCTTGCGAATTAAAAAGGGAAGAAACAACCCACCCATTCTCCCGCTCCCATTCTCCCATTCTCCCATTGAGCCAACCCATCCTCTCCCTGCCGGCCACCCGGCTGGTAGACTTGCCTCCGTAGTGAAAAGCTAGCAAAATACGTTCGGCATATTTGGGAGCTAGTCAATTTTATGCGCCTTTCCCTCGGAACTGATCAGCTTGTTCCGATCTGAGTGTCAGACAGGATCAGCACGCCTCAGAGCAATGGGTCTAGTAAGTTTTACGCGTCGTATTTTGGTAATGTTTGGTGATGAATACAAGTGGTATCAAGAACACAGTAGTGGATCCAGGGGGAATGAATGGATGTGCGCATTACGACAGCGTTCATAACAACACCTTAGCGCACGGATGTCGCTTTTGATTATTTTATGAGGTTCATTCCCGAAAATACAGAGCTGGACTCTGAAATGCTGGCTGCCCCCAGTATTGGTGCCTTGAATATTTTGAATAAAGGTCGGACAAGTTCTCTGGCACATAAACCCTATCTTTTTCGGCACGATTTGCTATTCTTAACTACTGCTTTGGATGAAAAAACTATTTGATGCAAGATAAAAAAAAATGGGATAAGATTCCCGTCAAGGTAAGGTGGCCCAAGTCTGTTGAGAAGCACAATATTGGTGGGGGTTGGTGCGTTGTGGGGTGGACTCATTCCCCCAACCACTTACAAAAAAAAAAAACGATGGTTCTGTGTTGGCGTGTGCTTTGCACTTGTACTGACGCAGCCATTAGCCAGAATATTCGAGATGGCTATGCTCATTAAAACGTTAACCTCCGCTTGGTGACGTAAAAGGCGTTGGGTAAACATATGTTCTATCGAGGAGGCACTCTTTCCTCCAGATTCGGTGCTATGAATGGTAAGCTTATAATACCAAAATCACGGGATAAATGTGAGAGTGACTATTGGAAGAAATATGATGGACATATCATCAAATAAAGTAATAACAACTCAAACAATGATGTTTCCTTCTGTTCCTCATTTCCAGATGTCCCAATAACACATATTCGTGTCATTTCGGGTGAGGGCTCTGGGTTATGGCGCGGGTATGTGACTACAAAAATCACAAGGTGGGGATGCGTCCATCCGCAGTACCGCCATCTGCCGGCGTCGGAAGTCCACAGGACATTGTACGCCTGGATGAGGCGGGCTCCTCGAAGCCGTGATGTTATGCGGCGCGGGCTAAGGTTTCCACTGGGCAGGTGTTTAGCCACGCCATTGCGGAGCAAGTGGATCTTCTATGTGTATGCCAAGAGGACCTGTCTAGTAGCAACAAGCCTGCCTTCTGAGAATCGTTGTCATTAACAAAACGGTGTAGTGTCATCTAATGATGGCCTGCAACGCACTGAGAGCCACGAGCCCGGTACTCAGATGATATGATGCCCTTGATGATATGCAGCTGTGTACGTAGTGTGATTTGTTTGTTGCCACATCTTCTGACTTATAACGCACCTCATGAAGCTGATTAATGATAACATCAATCGATGTAAGTGTCATAGCGAATTTGCACTTCAGTTTCTGCAACTCAGACGGTAACGGTTTCGCTTCAGATTCATGTTTGCCAGGCCTACAATTACCAACGGGATCAAGTTCACCCTTTACTCACGCTCACCGATGCCACCCGCCTCGCGGTCGGTATTCACAGAAGAACTGGACGTCTGGCCGGGAGCGCGGCCGCCGCGGCCGTCGAGCGCACGGTCCTGGGTCGGGTGGTCTGTGTGCGTGCGCCCGCTACCCTGCTCACCGGGCTACCACCGGCCACCGGGCGCCAACTGCAGCCTCCCGGCCGGCCTGGCCAACGCCGGCGACGGCGGGCGGCGCCACCGGCGCGCCGGCGCGGCCCGGGCGAGCTGGCGGCCGCCCGGGCCGCGGCCTCCCGGGGGAGACGACCGCACGGACGGCTCTCTGGCTCTCCCGCGCGCCACTCAGCTCACGGGAGCGCGTCGCGTGCGTGCCGCACCGGCCCAGCCTCCGTCCTCAGCACACGGGAGCGGGCCACGCGCCGCACGGGTCCAGACTCCTTCTTTAAGGCGCGGGAGTGGACCGTACGCATGATGCTCCGGTCCAGCCTCCCCCCCTCCCCCCCCAGCACACGGAAGCGGGCCGCATGCGTGCTCCACCGGCCCAGCGCGCCACGTGGCTGGCCTCGCCCATCTTGGCACGGCCAGAAATGGAGCACCTTACGGGCTGGCTAATAGGATGTTAGACGACAAGCTGTCTGGTAAACGGGATAGCTCGATATGCACGGACAGCCACATGCGTGGAGTTGAACCTCGCACTGATAGGGGAGAGGGGTTAATATATCTCCTCAAGGTTCTTGGAGAACACCTCTCCGCATATGTCGTGTAATCGCGCCCAAATTTTAGTAGCCTATTAGACATCCATTGCACGTGTTTTGACACTAAAAACGTGTTTCTAGCGGAGCAGCGGAGGTTTTGACGAACACCGCGCGGCGATCTATGGCCGGCGCAGGCGGCGGGCGGCAACCGGCGGTGCCGCGCAACGCTCGCGGTGGGCCGACTTTGTTGCATGAATGGAACCATACGTTATAAATGAACGCTCGAAATACATAGAAAATACACCAATGCAGGGATGTAGTTTCCTATTCAGTTGGAGGTGTTCAGCGTCCTTCCCTCAAACCAACTTACGCTTCAGCCCATTCAGCCAGCCCACACTCAGCCCAGCCCAATCCCATTTTTATAACGAAAGTACACAAAATTCAGGAGAAAGCTATTTGCTGGCAAAATGTAACATGTTGGGGCATTTTCCACTGCTCAGTCCCCCCCCCCCCCGAAATCATTCTGATGGCCTAAAATCCGCCTCATTGTGCTCAGAATTGAGCGAGAAACGCACCTGTTTAAGTTTCGTGTCGTCACAAAGCATAGCCTCGTGTGTATGATGTAGAGCTAAAAAAGTGAGATTTTCTGGAAAATATGACCTTCGACCTGCCATAATAATGTCAAGTATTGATCTAATGACATACAAATTAGTACCTATCGCAATTGAGACCAATCTGCCAGTTTCTTCGCTAAGTCATCTTCATTAGTTTGAAAACACCCCCCGGCCAGTACGCGTCATGAAAAACGGCGAATCGGGACGAGGATTAACTTGCTAGGCAGTGAGGGTTAAGCTCAGAAAGAATTGAAAATAGGAACACATGCAAAATATCATGACAGAAAAGGGTACTCTGAGCTCCGCCATTATTACTAGGACGATCTCCATGAAGGAAATCCTTATCAAAGTCTCTGGTGCAGCTCGTGTTGGGGGCCAAAAATGGCGTGGCGTGGGTGCGCCAAGCTGTGTATATATATAGCTAATTAAAAAGCAGACCTTTCGGCATACCAAAATCAAATGTGCATTATGAGGTCGCTGGCTTATGGCAGGTCAGAGTTAAGCCGTGAGTGTCGCAAAGGCAATATTTAGCACATGGTCTAATCTGATGCAGCAACAGAGTGTTAGACGAAACTTTTGGGATGTTTTTTTAGACAAGCTGACAATGGAGTTAGGATTGTGTCAAATTTCACTGACCTTGGTTCAGGTATGAAGGCCAATTGAGGTCAAAACCAACCCACTTTTTACTAACAAACATGCTTTAACAGGTAGTTTTTGATACTTATTTCGAATTTCTTGACAATAGGGACCACAATAGACATCTCCCATGAATTTCGTAACGGTCAAAGACAGTCACTGACCTAAAATGACCCCGATCTACATTTGTGTTGAGGAACACACCGCCAAGTATAATTATTGACGCTTGTTGAAATTCCAAAATCAAATCAGTCTCGTTGGTTTTGGTGACCATGACGTTCTAAGGGCAAAGGTGTTCTTTCGGTTAAAACAGATACCTAGGTTCAAGGCAATTGGATGAGGAAATATTTACACACTTCCAACACCGATATGGACTTAGACCTCGTATGACCTTATGTGAACCAAAGGTGATGACCTAGGAGACTCAAATTTTGACATCAATAAGCTAACAAACATAAATCCACCCGGTCAATTTAGTGTTTCTAGCTCTCTTGGTCTTTGATATTTTCGGGATCTGAAACCGACCCCCAACCGAACGTGTGATATTCAACGGGCCACCCGAGCGCGTGTTAAAGGATCTGAAACCAACACAGTGGGTGCGCATGAAGCAAATGCCATTTTATCTGCGAAGTGTACGTACCACCTTGTTGGATCTGTTCTCACTTGTTCTTCGCTGTTTTCGCGGTGCATGGAACATGAACCGGCCAGACTGACGTTAGCCGCCACGATGTCTCTCTGAATGCGGCGTACAAATTGCAGTTACGGTCAGGGAACGCGCGCGACCAGGTCTCATGATGGGTTCGACGCTTGCGCTCTTGTGCCCATGGCATGCCAGAAACGGTGGCTGGCCATCGGGTCAGTGACCGACCGGTCAGCTCACCAAATCACAGCCTGACCTCCGACCGGTACTCACCCATATCGCACGGATCACACAGATATCATACCCATATCCAAACACCGGTACGGTCCGTGCCGGCGTGCGAGCGAGGCGTCGGCTGCGACGCTGGACGATAGGATGGAGAGTGTTAGACTGTGCCGCATCACACCGCTGCCGCGCGGAACAGACGACATCAGGTACGCTCTGCCCGCAGTGCTGGCGCCGCAGATCACTGCGACGCTCGTACCGAGTACGGAGCAAAGGGCAGCGCAAATACACGGAGAAAAGGCCGCGCAGATAAACGGGGTCCGGCAACAATGCTAGATCGCCACCCAGCCTCCCAAGGACCTTCGTAGCCTTCCATAGCTGCACCGCAGTCTCCATGGCTGTACCACGGCTCCTTTGACTGCACCGGGGCTCCCACGCCTGCACCGCGGCTCTCATAGCTTAACCGCTGCCCTCATGGCTGTACCGCAGCTCCCATGGCTGCATCGCGGCTCTCATGGATGTACCGCGGCTCTCATGGGTGTAGGGTGGTTCTCATGGCTACATCGTGGTTCTCATGGCTGTACCGCGGCTCCCATGGCTGCATCGCGGCTCTCATGGATGTACCGCGGCTTTCATGGGTGCACCGCGGCTCTCATGGCTGTAGGGCGGTTCTCATGGCTACATCGTGGCTCTCATGGCTGTACCGCGGCTCCCATGGCTGTACCGCGGCTTCAGGGCCTGCTGCACCCATGTTCGTTGCCAGCCAAGTTCGGCTGTCCTTGCGTCGGCATCGGCCGTGGCATCAATGAGTTCAATATCGGATCCAAGCGCTGATTTATACCGAGCCCGAAGGGAAGAAGGGAGATGCCATCTTTACTCTTGGGAAATATCTAACAAAGGAAATTCAAACGCGCAAGCAACAGTCAGATGACTGATGATCTTGCAGCCTTGGTAACGTGACGGGAATTCCAGAGTGAAGTCAAAATGGCAATGGAGATCGGAATCGCTATCAAGCGGTCGGAAGGATGGAGAAAATGCTCGGAGCTTTCGAAAGCGGTCAACCACCCTCGAATCTGAAGTCTATCTCGGGCGGGAAAACCACAGGATGGGCAGGGTACTCAGTCGCCCACCCTGTCCTGTTGTTAGGCAGGGCGGGCGAAGATATTTCCCCGCCCATCCTGAAACTTTAAGTCACCGGAAGCCGCTGACATATATTTGTTCTTGACGCTGTTTCCCAGAAAGCGTACCATAGTGCAAACATGGTTAATAAAAGGCTAAAATTGTCACGTTCGGCGCTGTTTTAAAACTAATTGTAAGCGCAGATGTTTTTGCGTTAACCAGAGGCGACAAAGGATAATTCAAAGCGTTCTGCTGAGCGGTTGTGCATGTCATCGGCGAGGGGGCCGACCTGCGTTATGCCCACCCCGGCCAATGGGACGGGTGGTGCCCGACGCGTGGTCGAGCGACCGCCTCCAGTGGCGGGCCCGGGGCCATCTGTTTCGTCTGCTAATACCGTGCGTGCACCCAACCAGCACACCATCACACGACCAAATTCCCTTAGCGCTACCAGCAGAGCGTTTAGCAAGTCTGTTTATCTCATTTTTCATGGCCGACGCCGACGCCCGATAAACAAGACAGATGAGTTTCCAACGCCTCTTTCTGTTGCCAACACGGACGTGGTCACCACTTTGGAGGTCTGGCAAGTAGCTCGAGTGGCTAGGAATGTAGATATCTGGGGACGCTGGTCCATCATGAGGCAGCGCACCCGGCGCTCGGGGGTGGAGTCGGCCTTTTGCGCGGAGTAATGCCTCCCCCCCCCCCCCACCCCCTACCGACGGTTATAAGCTTCGGTGCCTGATGAACTTTGGGTAGGCTGGGCTTACATCCAACCGCACCGCTTGCGTGATATGATATCATATCATTGTAGGATATCATATCATATATTCTATTGATAAGTTACCAATGTATCCGCATGCTAATTAAATCAATTTACTTCGCGTTCGTCGATGGTTGTTTGAAACATGCATTCACAGTATTGCATCGCAATAAGATTGTCAGTGTAATCAAGATCAGTTCGAATTCCGAGGCAAAAAAGCTGAAAAGCTGTGTTTGCTTCAGGACCTGAGGCAAACTGCTGCTGATCAAATGTTTTCGGACCGCGGAGTGACTCCAAGCACACTGGACAGCGATTCATAGATTTACGAAAGCTGCATAGTAAATAGGCGCCTTGCCGAAAGTACAGTTTTGCTTTGTTCGGAGGTCCAGAAGTGCTGGGGCTTGTCTCACGTCCCTGAATACCAACAACGGCAGTCGCAAACAAGTGAGTCGGTACATAAACTGACTCGGCTGTGCAAATCGCTGACACAAACGTCGTTGGATCCCAGTCATCGCCAAACGTTGCTTGCTACGCGATGCCCAACTCGACCCATTGCAAATGTCCTGACTTGCGGGGTGGTTTTGCTCCAGCCTGTTGGAAGGGACAATTCGACCGCCCTTGGTGAGAATTAGACCCGTGGTAACTGTCTAGCCACCTAGCAATTCGGTGAGGGCCAATGGAACGACTGGGACGATCTTGAATCGATTTATTGATGACGAAAGAGGTGGAAAGATTTACAAATTATAACACGAGGTTTCGCCTAACTTGAGGAGAGCTACGATGCATACGGCCGTAAGGTAGATGGTACAAAATAAATCCCGCCAGAATTCTGGGTATTGATCTGACCTGTGTTGCAGGTGTTGGCTCCAGCGCTTACCAAGCGCCGTCAGCATGACCGGCGGGCTGGCACCCTGGACGCCTGGGCCTAGGGGCGGATCAGGTCAGGTCTCAGGGCTTGTAGACCGGGCGAGAGTCCTCAGTAGCGTGGCCTTGACACCACCGACGGATGCTTGGCCAATATGGAGCCGACCATTAGCGTCAGCCAATGAAGCGCCAGCTGAGCCAGGTCGAGCAGATTTTCTTCACATGCGGAACCCGAGGAATGGCGAAGGGTCGGGTAGGCCAGCAGTTCCTCTAAAGAGGCGTTCGCTGGAACACGAGAGCCCAACTTCCCCGTCATCGTACCCGAGCGCCAGCTGACGTTTTGAGGTCTCGGGACCGACCTCAAACTGAGCAACGCCCATCGATAGCGGTGTTAGCAGGCACTGATCAGCGTTCGCGCGAGAGCCGTTGTCCGCACCATCAAGACCACCTGCACAGGATGCAATAGCGCGCTTCATACGGTTACTGGCGCTGACGCCTTCGGGTTGTACTGCGCCAAGGAATTTCAAGGGTAAGGTCTGTTTTATCCGATCCACCCGCTACTCATGTGCCCATAACCATCCGCTATCAGTCTCTTACTTGCTTTACCCACCCGCAACCCAGCCAGTTTACGTTTTCCAGCATTTAGATACTAAATAATGGAAAATTTTCGCGGTAGTTTACGCCTGGACCGATTCCTTTGTGTTGGTGATTTCAAAAGACGTGTGAATGGAAGCTAGTCGTGAATAAAGACACGCACACAGTAGTACTGAGCAGCATTCGTGAACTATCTGCGCATCATTTTGTACATTTTTACCCATGGCCGTAGTTTGCTAAGATCTGTACCCGACTAAACATGTTATCCCTGCATATGTACCCATGACTTTACCCAACACGTTAAGTCTTGTAAGTGTGCTCCGTCAGTGATAGCAAACCAGAAGCGACGCAGTGCGGATGCTTCGGACTTCTTACTTGGTGCATCTGACCGCCGGGAAAGAACGCTCTCTGGAGACCGTATCAAAGCATGGAAATTGATCCTCTGCGCGCATACGCCATCCATGCGTTATCATTTCCCGCAATCCAAACTCACATCTGTAATTCGTAACTGAATCTGCACGCACATGCATGATATCTCGCTCAGATAGCATCTCCTGCCCATGTGATATCTTCCTGTCCTGACCACACCAGTCGCGAGCGCGTGGCCACGTGTCGTCTCGGTGAAGCCCTACACAGCCCGCATGTTTGGGTACGGAGCTCACCGGCCGGCGTATATAAACAAAGGCCAGGCGCGCTCTCAAGACCGCTTGATCATTTGGTTTCATGATGCCCATCATCTTGGCCGGCTTCTCTCGACGGCTCTTGCCGGTGACTGCATGTTATAGTGTTGCCACTCTATGCTTGTGAACGTGGAGAATGAAACGTGTCGGGCATTGCCATCTTACAAAGCTTTGGAACGTGGACTATTAATGAGGCATAAACACTACAGGTCCACGCAGCGTGGCTAGCGTGCGATGTGGCAGAGATAAGGCACCGCAAGCGGTCAAAATCATAGGTTTGGCCGCCGGATCGGCCTTGCTGTGCCCGCAACCGAGCATCCTCAGTACGCCACCTCGTGAATGCCTTGATTTATGATGATTGCTTTTTCGACAGAACGTGCCTGATGCGCAGCCTGCCGTCACGTATGCCCGCTACCAACTCGTTACCGACGGCTGACTCATAACTCGTGATGTATCGTCGTCTCACCGCCGCGCAGGCCAGGGCCTATGTCAATACGTGAACAGGGGCGAAATCCCCATCGGTGACCCCGACAGTGGAGACCTAATATTGCCGACAGATCACGCCCGGCCAGGTCTTTGCAGCTGCTTAGGCAGAGGCTGCGAGGAAGCCCATTTCGGAGTCGCGGTAGGATACATGCGTTCCGTATTGGGCCAAACATTCGAAGGCGATTCAAATGTTCTTCAATAAGAAGATGAAAACATAAGGCATTGATGCAGAGCTGCTTTAAAAACGTCCGACGGGTTCAACTGTTGCCAGATGAAATTTGATTAGCGTACGTGTGCCGAAATTTGGGCGAGAATATGGCCAAATGATGCTCTTCATGCTTGTAACACTTCTGCCGGATTTTATTAGCAAGAAGGGTCTTTAGCTCCCGCATTTTCAGCTTCATGAGCTCATAGTTTTTTATGTGAGCTAAATAGCCTCAATATATCAGGTCATGGTTAAACGACGTTTTAGATCAAACATTAGTTATATTGACAGAACTCGGCGCTTCAAGCTGTTTCGACGGCTCCTGGTATATGCAAGGTCAATGATCGCCACAAGATATCTGGACTCATACTTCCGCTGGATTCCATTCTGAATGGGAAAATTTCATTTATAACTGCGACCGCAAGCGAGATAGCCAGACGCAATAAAAATGCAGCGAATCCAAACGACGGGTTAACGTAAAACGCGCAACCTTGTAGTTCTACACGTGCGTGACATCACACAAGCGATATCTTATTGTAGGTGAGACCTGTCTTATTATCCGAGAATCTCTTGACCTTGCGTGCTTCCGATGACGAAGAATCCTTTGGGGAGTTTTGGGGGCAAACGTATTTTTTCCAGCGGTTTCTTCATGCAACAGCATAGTGCTAATGCGATGGTTTGTGTATTTGACACGTAGCTGGGCATCCTTGCAGCGCCCACTTAGCACTTGTTGCTGCAGTTGTTCCGGGAAGCGAGGGAGACGATGACGGTAGCTTTCCATGTGTCCCTCTCTTTCATTTTGTCTTCCACCACTTCCACCACTCCTGCTTGCCACCGTTCGTTCCCGTATGATGCACTGTCGAACAAGACCTTTTACATCGCAGCGTATTGCGGTCTGCACAAGGCACCTGCCATTATATCAGTCTGTGCTTACATGTTATTATCAAATACCAACAATGTGCTGAGCTTTAAGATCTGTTAAGACAAGCAAATGTACCTCAGTTATCAACGTAAGCTTCCCTTGCACACCTAAGTATCCGTGGCACCAGCCAACGCAGTCACGCCATCTTGATTTTCGCAATGGCTTGAAATGTACGGCCTACTTCTACGCGTCCCAGCCAATGTTCCTTACATGACACAAACTCCGTACTTCGTAGCTATTTGACTACTCACTCGTATATTAAAATCTTTGACAAAAGAGCTATCCGGCCATCGAATTACTCGTGTTGGTTCTTAAAGACTTGCCTCCCTACAGGGATGCACGTAGAATTTAGCACAAGAGGAGCACAAATTAAGAATGCTCACCAGAACACGAGTTCAGCGCACCGCATTCTCGCAAAGTGTGCTGTATGATGCGAAACAACATTGCATGTTCTCGATCTTATTGTTACGTGTCTGTTTGTAATTTTTCACTACCAGTGTTGCGCACGTCACTGTCGTCGGCGACGAAAGAGAAAAGGTGGGAGTAGTTGCACTTTGTTTTCTTCAGTTAACAACCCGAGACCCCACGCAGTGCGACACAAGTGTACTCACCCGCACCTCAGGACTCGGGCTGTCAACCGGCTGGTTGCGGCCGAGTGGCCGGGACTAGCACTGCTGCGTTGATCGTGCTGGTCCGGTTTGAAACATTGGTGCCGGCATCGAGCTGATGCCGGACCCAGGACTGACAGGCAGGGAAACGCGTCCAGAGAGGGACGGATCACGAAGAGTAAAGAACGCTGCGCTGTCAGGTTGCACACAATATGTTATCGATATGGCTCGGTACGACTACATCGCCTGACAGCAGGCAAACATATGCCTAGTTATGGTAGTCAATATGCCATTAGCGGCCAAACAATAGCTGTACTAGCAACCGTTCTGTGGTAGGCATATCACTCATATCATGACCCAACATTAACAGTGCAGCTGAAGCTATGGAGACACAGTTCTCACACGACGTACAATGTCACACACACACACACACACAACAATACTCGTTAGCGCCACCTATTGGTGACCCGCACGACTAGGTGTTGACTTCGTACCGCGACACCATTTAGTTACATACATATTTAAGCACACTATAAATTTGATAGCGTGGGTCACGTGCCTCGGGGGATTTCACGCGCATAATGCCCTGTCTCTGTGCACAGTGCACAGTGATTGACGCTTCGCTCTAGATCATGGGGCTAAAATCGTGTCTCCGCTGTCGAGACTGCTACGGCAGAAATAAACGCGTTTACTCACCACTTGCTGCGGTCGCATTAATATTCAATTAGGCGATTGTTGAATGGCCACAAAATATCTTTGCAGAGCTCACACCGCGATGCAGTGTGGACTGGTTACACTGAAATGTAATGTTAACAAAACCGGATCGACTGCTTATAATACAAAGTGAAAATGAGCCGGTGCAGGGTACAAAGTGGCGGCCCGTGCCCAGTTCTTGGTTGGCTATCACCGCGCCTTCTTTTGCAGGCCAGAGATGTCAAGCCAGCTATGTTGTCTCCACCTTCATCGCTGTATTTATGATCGTCTTGTCATTGCCGCAATGCCTCGACCCCAATAACTTCAATCTTATCAACTCATAGCTGTCGAATGGTTGCTGTTGCGTCATCTCCGACAACGTGAAGTATCGATGAATAAGTTATCTACACATATAATGCCCACGATGTCCTCCATCTGCGTTCCTACATTTCATGCGCTGACGCCATTCACGAAAATCAACGTCCTACAAATGGGGATGTCAAGATTTGTTGTTGCTCGCGTGTCACTGGATACCTTTTCGACGGCTACACTATCGCTTAACTTGTTTCACCCACATTTACGTTCAATGGTGCCCTCTATTGGTTTCAAAGCCAGCATTCCCATTAGCGCAAGTGGGGCATCAGTCCCCGTATCCAGTCCTCAACACACATGCGCATTCCCCACGCTCGCATCTGTGGGCTGTGAAATTGTCCGGGTCTTACTGTCCTCTGTTTGACTCGCAGTGACGGTGAACAAGCAAGAGACCAGAACAGACAGAAGCATGTTTTCGAAGATTACATAACGCCTTCGTTTAAACAAGGAACCAGTACAGCAATTTTGTACGCCTGCATATTGTGGCCGACCTCGCTCTGCAGCC